GTTGTGGCGGAAGAGGAGATGGAGAAAGAGAAGAGGTAATGGGAGGGAGTTCGTATTTGTAGAGACGTTTTGGCGTAGTTGAAGCTGCGGTTACATGGAATGGAAGGATCATACCATCCGCAAAGATTTCATCGGCTGGTGAGGAATCTCCGGGATCAAAATTGTTTGAGATATGGAACTCGAAAGAGTTTGATGAATCTAGAAGAGTTTCGTCTCTTCGGATAAGACCGGATGGTTCCATTACAAGTGGTGGCGCTTTATCAGATTGGCCAAGATCACTGGAGAACGAAATCCGCTGGTCCGTGCAGATCATAGTCGAAAGAAGAAGAAAAACAAAAAAAAGTCAAGTGACTGAAAATTGATCTCATTCAATGTCAAACCTCTGCTTTTGGAACAATGGAAGTTTGTACATTTTGGAATAAAAACTCATTAAGTTGGCGAAGAGAAGTTGAAGTTTCTAATAAAATATTGGAATGCGTAATCTGTCTAAAGATTGTGGTGAGCCACTCACTAATCTTCTATCTAAAGGTATTATATTCACAGAGGTTGAATAAGTATGTTACCATTACTATCATGTTGGACCAAGGCTAGAGTCTTGTTTAGCTTGACCATGGCTTGTGATGGTCCTAACAACCTTTACCAACTCCATTTCATTCTCTGTTTTCCACGGTCCTGTTCTTGTATCAATGAAACGATCAACATACAACATTGCAAGCTCAGGGGGCTGTCATGTGTCATGTTCCATGCACATAAATTTTCAGCATCCATGGGTTGATGTCACCATTCGGTTCTGATATGTCGTTTGCGAAGCTATCATTGTTCGCTCGGGCGTCTACGTGTCTGGATCGTCTGGTACTAAAGAAAGGTTTCTACTTCGAAGTATTAGAGAGGAAGAGACCTGTGTGAACCTCAATGTAATTGTAAGGATGTCCTACTCACTTCTTTGTCTGAACCTGTGAAGTCATTCAAACAAAACATGTGATAGCACAGAAATTTCTTGGCATCAAGGCATCAAGAAACCGCACTTGCAGCAGCGCGGAAGAGAAATATCATTATCGGTATGATCATGCTTGCATAATCTGGCAAACAGAAACATAGTACATGGGAGAAGCTTGTCCAACCCTGCAAAGTCATCAACAAGCTTATAACAGCACAGACATTGGTGAGACGAGCAGCACGTTCTTGACACCGAGGTACCGATCCATGAAACATACTCAAGAACAAGAAGATTCTTTGTTAAGATCTTTGGAGGCTCCTAGCCATGAAACATACTCGAGAACAAGAAGAATCTTTGTTAACCTCTTGCATAACCATTAGCCATCAATATACAAACAGTAGTACAAGATTCAAGAAACCTTTTGACTGGATGGAACAATGAAAGAGAAGTTACGAGAGAAACGCAATGAAATCAACTGCATTATCGATAACAAACCGCTAGAGATTACAACTAGACTGGTGATGATACCATCTTCTAAACTGAACATTATGAATGAACCAACCGATTAAATCCCGAAAAAATCCGCTTTTACAACAAGAAACAACACAGAAACCAATTGGGTTTCTTCACGGATCCAGGACATTGCTACATTACTTGAGAATATCTCAAAACTAGAACCAAGAAACAGAGAAAAAACAAAGTTGATACATTTTTTTCTTTTTTTGCTAAAGAGAACCAAAGAAAGTAAACACCTTTCATGTCTCAACAGCTTCAGGAACATTATATGAATCTGTTGTTACTTCTTCACTCAACCAGAATCCAGGAAAAATCGTCTGCAAAAACACACACATAAAAATCGTTACTTTTTTCTCAGTAAAGCATCCACCTTTAAAAGAAAAATTTCCCAGAGAAAAGAGAAAAACTTTACATTCAATTTCTTCTGAACAATTCTGGGTCTCTTCTTAGGTCTCCTTGGAGGTT